TTGAACTTATTATGAAAGGTGAACCTATCCAAAAATAACTGCACGGCATGTTATTTTCCTATTTTAATAAAACTATCTCTAAAAGTTCAATAACATCGATAAAATCGTCAATTATTTGTGAAGTAGAAAGGTGCGATTAGTTCCTTGCAATTTTATGGAACATCCTTACAAAGTTATAAATCATGATTGTTACCTTAAAAGGAAATTTCTAATGTGCAGGGGTAGTGGGAGCTCAATTTGTTAATTCTTTAAATCTTTGAAAATAACAAAAAGTTCCCAAACCTCTGCCAAACACTGCGTCCATTTACGACAATCATGATCATCATTATGGTCTTAATAATCCATCATATATGACCACTAATAATAGTCATGAAAAATAATGGTAATGAATGTAAACATCGATAGCGAATAAGCCGTGTCATAATAAATTCATGTGGGGCATCATTTGAATATTACGGAACGCTTAGTAATGTGAGAGAAACTTTGCTATGTTTCATTCTTTAGATAAAAACTTTGATGCACCTGTACAGTTGAGGAGTTCAAAATTCAATTACAATGGTTACATAACATCCAAACTACCCCAATGTGTGTAGGCCACTCAACCTAAAACTATCAATTCATCATCATTTCGTCTATTTTGTGCTCGAAAAAAAAAAGTTTCTCAAATGACAATCATTAATTATTGATTGACGAAAAAAACGAAAAGAAATGTACTTTAGCTCGCGACTGGTTGATTGCCTTTAATTTCTCTCCCACATACTATTGTGCTATATGTAATTAAATAATTCAAACTACAAGGCATTGAAGGCATTTCGAAGAAAAAGTAGACGAAAAAATAAATTGTTTGTTAAAAATCACAAAAACAGAATTGTGAGGTTAATGAATGACAATGGAGGGCAAAAAGACAAAAAGAGACGATGCCAATTTATCAAATTTAATTATCAGAAGCACAAAAAAAAATTTGAGAGAGAGGAGAAATTAAATCCTGGAGATGCAATTAATGTGATCAATCAAGATTGACTTTGCTCATGGGCATCATTAGTAATGTGAGGAGAAATTGCTGTCATGGTGTGAGGTGTTATGCGGTTTGTTTTAAAGACGGAGCATGGATGTTGCTTATTATTCTGTTAGTTGATGATTTTTTTCAGCTAGATGATGATAAATGTAATTAATTTCGGACGATGACTATCATCCATGTCATCAAATCTGACAATCTTTTTATTGTGTGCCGTTACTGTCTGGGTTGGCTTGAGTCAAGCTCATTCGATAACTTCAAAACTTTGAAACTTGAATGAACCAGCTCTATTTCTTGATAATGCATTAGATATTCCCAAGCAATCACTAGATCCTAATACTGTTTGAAATAGACAATTTGAGAATGTTAGGCTGAAAAGCTTGTCAGCCTGAGGATCTCATCAGAATTTGCTTTAACGCATGCCATTAAACCTTTAAACGGTATTTCAATTAATAAATAATCGTCTGAGAAATAAGAAAGTGGGTGACTGAATATTGATCAAGCCATATGCTGTATATAAGTATATGCACTTATTTTTCGAATTAAAATTTTAACTCTTCCTGCATTAATACCCTTGAAATTGTCATTTCAGTCACCCACGCTTGTACTTTAATCACAAGACATCAATTAGCCTAATTCCAAAAATAAGCTTAACCTTTTTTCTTGTCTAATCAGTTATCTTTAACATAATCCTATTAATATCTGATAATACTAGCTAAATAGACTTCCGAGTTGTATCGGAGAAGCAACAAGGCACCATGACTTCATTCCCATAATATAAATTAGCAAAAGTCATTCCAGCAATTGTGTCGAAATTGAATTAGCTCACAATATAAAAAAATCATATAATATCTTCAACTTATCAACGCAGCGCAGCACTAAAAAAACTTAAATTGAATGGAATGAACTTATTTTTTCGTAAACATTGGTCGAAGCTATTAGCGTGGGTTCAGCATTTAATTCATGACTTTTATGGATCTTAATGATAATGTCGATGATTTTTGATAAGATATGAAATTGCTTTGTTTTGTTTGTGCCTCTTCAATTCTCTCAAATTTCGTTTGCTTAATATTCTCACAAATGTCTAATATAAATGACTTTGAGATCACTTTAATGTGAGTCATGTCGATGAAGAAAATGAAGCACTAAATGAAGCAACGAAATTATATTTTTAAATTTGACCAAAAAAATGTCCATTTTTGGAAGTGAAAATGAAGTTTTAAAATTTTGAAAAGACCCACAAAAGTGACAAACTATTTATGAGGTAATTGTTGACTGTCAAACTCTATTTGCATGTCTTCTTAAATGTTCCTTATAGATTTTTAAAGTAGGATGGAAAGTCTTCAAATTCCTGTATCTGTTTGCAAACACTCAGCATTATTGTACTTAGTCAAGAAGAAGAAGTCACGGCAAACAGTTGCTCATTAACTTCTTTCTTTTTCTACATCGACATTTTCTCCCACATGATGCGGTGTCATTTATGATAAAATGATCTGTCAAATACAGTTGGAGCGACAAAATTAATAGCTTTATAGATTAATCGACAGATTGTTTCCACAAAAATTGTGCACAAAACGCGTTTTCTGACCTGAAATCAATGGCATTGTCTTGTAACGGAATTGTGGATTTGATAATTGTATGCGGGCTACGATTTTTGGAGATATGAAATAGAGATATGGATTGTGTAGGGTGCGCCAGTGAAATTTAAATTTTTTTTCGCAGAGTATTGTTGATTGTTACTTTATTTATGACGGATGTCTTCTGAGACATAATATGTCGACTCAGTATAAACTGTGTCGCAACTAACAGGATTAAATATCGAAATCCTAGTGTCTCGATCACTTTGGATCTACCAACGCAAAAAATTGTGGTTGACAATGTCCTTAGCAAGCAATTCACAAGCAGACACATCAAAACAATGCAGCTGTACATTATACTTGTCTACACTTAAGTGTGGACTTTCCAACATTCCAAAAGTAATTGCTCTAATCCCTCAATAAAATAACCCTCAACGAAAGCTTAACATACAAAACCCCTAACTCAAAATTAATTGCTCATTAAAATCTTTAATACTACTCGAAACTGCACACATCACACAATTTTCGGCACGAAAGTAGAAAGTTTAAAACTCTTTAAAGTCCAAATTACAGTGAAAGTAAAATAAATGTACTTAGCACACGACTTTAATCATTTTTGTCATTGATACATCTTTAATGGTCGTCATAGATACTCAGAAATCGTGTAGTGGTCACATGCACATAGTTATTGTTATTCTATCATTTATTTCTTCTCAACAAGCTCAATACGATTTCTAAAAATAACAATAATGATGATGTATGAGCTTTCCGAGTAGAAATGTGAGTATATTATAACAATACAGTCATAACAAAAGTAGTAAATTGATGCAACATTGTATGTGCAAAAAAATACATTCACAGATTACATCACTTGCCGGCTTGATGAGCGGCAATAAATTACTTGTCATACAGTTAAACTTATCATTATAGATGTGTCTATATACGATGCAATGACATAATTTTGTTCAAGCTTTATTTGTAATTTTCATCATCAAGTGCTAAAATAATGAGCGACAACCAATCTCCTGACTTTTAAGATGAAACTTTAGAATCCTATAATTTCCATCACTGACTCAAGAATGTGACAAATTCCGATGTTTGATGATTAAAGATGTGATACAATAATTATATCAATTTTATGACTCAAATACATTTTAAGGACCAACTAATGTTTATTTTGAAACAGACTAGTCAATGAATCAGACAGATTTGACTCATATAAAGCCTTACTTGAATCAAAATTCCACATAGCATTGGCTTTAACAATTAAAATGTATACGCATGCTACTCACTTCATCAATTAAATATGTCTGTACTTCAAGTGCATTGAAAAATTACAACGAATGAATTTCTTAATATGGAATCTAATAAATCATCAAAGACTTGATGCATTAACAGCATTAACCTAAATATTTTTACATCATTAACTAGTCGGTTAGACCAGTCATCAATCTACAAATGAAATCAAATACCTCAAAAAAATTGCTTCTATAAAAAATAAAGCAAGTCTTATCTTATCGCAAGAAATTTAATGAAACAGCACACAAATATTTATTTTTAGCAGGAACAAAGTTTGAAGTCATGCAATTTTCTGCAGTACCTTGCTTTATTTAACATTTTCACAGTTTGAACCTTAAAAATAGAAACAGGAGCAAAAAGAAGACAAAAAGGAAAAAAAAAATCAATAAATTGCAGCATGCACACGTGAAATTTTTTCTGCCTATAACTGAGCAGACTCGCTGTCGGAAAACATTTTTTTCTATTCATTTTGTGCTGTACCGAGTGAGTTTAAATTGGAATTATTTCGGATCGATAAGAGGCTGTTGAACTCGAGCATGTCTGTTAGGTTGGTCTAATTGAAATGCTTGGTGCACCGTTATTGATGTATCATTGCTATTGCTGCAATTGTGTCTGCAATATAATTAAAGAACTGCAAACATACAACATGAAATTTAATTAAATATAATTTGATTAATTTCACTTGGTGCTTTTGGAACTAGAACGCATAATGCATGAAATATGAAAGCACATTAATCAATTTTGTGACACAGTAAGATGTGGAAGGCATGAATGATAGCTGAAGGTTTTATTGTTAAGATTTTTATGTGTCAAGAATTGGATTTTGAAATCAGTGCTTAGTTGGATCTTTATTGTGAAAGACAGCTACAGATTTGATTGATCTACTTTATGATGGTCTGATTGTCATTCTCATGCCGATATAGAAGAGATGTTATTGCGAATTGGTCCTTGAACAGTTATTAATATTGTTTTTTCTAAAGCCAATAAAGATTCAGCTGTTCGAGGATTATTACTAGACATTTGTCACCAATTGCATAACGCAAAACAATGAGGTTTATGATTTGCTATTTTCCGTCTTGTCATTTCCTTTTTTGAAAGTCTTAAAGAGCTTAATTTGATCCTAAATTCTTAATTTGCTCTAGTTTTGCTAGGCCAGACACATGTTTATTAACAATATCAGTATGTCCATCTACTTCTGGGTCAAGAGAATAGCTTGGTGATATCACAAAGTGATGACCTTCCATCAATTTACAGACTCTATATAGTCAAACATTCCAATAATGATATAAAAGAAGCCAACACAAAGCCATTAATGCTGTTTTGTTAGTAATTTGAGATGGTCAAATACTACAGCAATAATAACAATCAGTCTCTATTCTATCCAGTGACAAAGCACTACAGACAAGTCTCACTTGAATTAAAAACTTAAGTATACAGTTTTGAAAACATAAATTTGGTGATTTGCTCAAAAAAAAAAATGTCAATCGCTGTCCAGACTCAAAATTCTCATTTTTCCATCCTCTCCATACTAGACACGACCATCTAAAAATCAATATTTAATAATAAAACTCTGAACAAAAAGAAAAACCACAAAGCAGCGTCTGCTGTAGGCCAACCACTATAACACATCAATTGTTCTTGTTTTGTATGTAAAAAGTGCATGAAGCATGAAGTTACGTCATTTTTAATTAGAATACATCCGTAAATTGAAAACCATAATAATCCACACGTTGTTTTCAATCTCTTCTCTTACTTTTATTTTAACAAGTGATCTCATCGACGAGAAAAAAAAATTCAATTTGGCAGCATATGGCAGTGAATTTCCATATTATCCATAAAATTAAATAATTTAAATGGAATATGAAACCGTAAATCGTTAAGAGATTGGTTAATAAAACCAACTGTATATGCATGATGCTCACAATCATCTCCAGAAAGTCACATTCTTTCTTCTTCTACTCTTCTAGATTCCACACATAATAATTTTTTACGCCTTCATTCATCCAACTGCAAGTAGCGTATGTATAAGTTTCATTATGCTAAGTTTCTTCTCTGTACTTGTTGTGTATATGTGCAAGATGCTGTTAGGGATTTATTCTCGAATGATGTTATATTGTTGATTTGGAGTAGGGTATGTAGCTTTGTAAGACATCATACTGCCTTAATAATCATGTGAGACTGGTTTTTCGGCTAGCTTAGGCTATATTTAGACTGTCGCTGGGTTTTACCCTAGTATGGGTTCTCTGTTGAATGACTAGAGTGTATCTTAGTGCAAATTCAGAGTATATGCAAGCAGTCAACCTAAAGAAGCCTAAAGAGTGTCCAAATCCCCATTTTAAATTCACATCATTAGCTAATAGCCCCCAATTCAGATAAATCATTTCGCCCAGCTCATTTAATAGGAAAATAAATTTTCAAAGAGACTTTAATGGAACTAGCTTTTTAAAAAGGTTCGCATATGTATGATTAATTGAAATTTACATGGAAGCAGCACCTTTTTCGGGTAGCTATAATAACATAAATGTGAAGAAAGGAAGAAAACATATTCATTATTTATTATAAAGAAATTTCCAACATAGCTTACGAGTGCGAAAGACTTGAGACACAAGTCGTGTAGGAAAGCATAGGAATGGTTAACTGCACATGTATGAAATTTAAGTGCAGTGTAATAAATTTTTTTATGGAAGTTGAATTTGCACTTGTGAATTTTTTAAAAAGCATTTCCTTCTCTTGACGGAACGGTTAAGTTTATTGCCAGGTACTTCAGATATTTACAACTAGGTTGTATGGAAAATCTGAATTGCACTCAAGTGTTTTGTCCAAAGTCGAATGAGTAAATTTAACGTCAACTTATCAACTTAGATTTTAAGGACTGTCTACGTTTATTACTTGGAATAGATATGAATATGTAGATCGGTGTCTGCTAAACCTTTTTAAGTAGGCACGAGTAATATTGTCTAAAATTGAGGTTCGTGGTCTTGTGGAGGTGCAGTCTTAAGATATTAATTACATTTTAAGACAAATTTACTTGAAAATAGATCATTAGCATTGAGCAGAACAATTCAGATCCATAGCCTTTCTTACAAGAAACCTAGACCTTCTCAATTCCTAATACCCAAAAGTACCAAAAAAATCTCTAGCACTGTAAAAGTTATCACCGAATAGCCACTGTCCATTTGTTTCTAGTAACATTCAATGGGTCATTCAAAATTTTAATTATTTTTACAATCCAGCCTTCGAATCTCATTTCAAGATCAATCGCTTTCTTCTCCCTGCCCCATTAACATCGTATAATGTGGAAATATTCATAAACATATTTTTTAATAATCTCCGGTACACAATAAAAAGTGATTGTTTATAATTTAATGGAAGAAATACAGCAATACATAAAAAACGGCGACAGAGACTACTCGCAACGCCTACACATACATCCTCTCTTAAATTCAATAATAATAAATGTTATGAATTGTTATTGCAGTCACACATTTTCAATAGCATACATGTATATAAGCACAAAACAGCACATACTTATTCATGAAATAGATGAATGAAATAAACAATCAGCTATGCGAAAAGGAATCAAGCTGTATTTGTAAACACTCAATTCTCGCTATAACTTTCTATATGTTAGAATCATTTTAAATTGGAAGTATTAGCAAAACAATTATGTCATCAATCCATTTCTGTCGGCAGCGTATTGACCGAAGAAGGTATAAAATGTTTATATCCCGAGAAGTGCTGAATGAAAACAGTCAATAAAAAAGATGTTGTTTGATTTTTAAACAGAAAAATTATGACTAATCCACAATGATTCAGATTTGAAAAAAATGTTCAAAAATTCAAAAATATCAAGTTAATTAAACTATATGTTTTAAATGCCAGATTAAAGAACATGATTTGTTTTATGTTCTGTAAAAATATCTCATTCCAATATGTTGTCTAACTCACAAAAATTAGATTCTAAGATGACAATAAATTTGTTTACAAAATGACAACAAATATTTTTCTTCAATTTTTACTCCTTTCTACTTCTAATTTCTTGTTTTAATGCTGATAACTAGCTTAATTAAGCTTAGTACTTTGTGTTTGTGTGAAGAAACCAAAAGAAAACCTATTAATTGGGCGAATATTCATGATTAATTTTTTTGAAATTTACCAAGACTTTAAACACTCATAAGTTAAATTCGCGTCTCTCCGCTTCTACCAAACCTATTAAAATCCAAAGAACAAAGTCTAATTAACCTTCCATATTAATGTGTACATGCCCAAATATGCCCGAAGCGAGATATTTGCGATTGAAAATTATTTATTTTTTCATACAAATTACTATCGTGCGCCAAATTTTTTGATAAACATTTGTGAAATTTTGTAAAAAAAACTTATTTATCCTCAATTTCATGACTTAATATTTTGAGGAATCAATAATCAAGTAAGACTAAAGTAATTAAAAGTCCTAAACTAGAGAATATCAACAAAAAATTTCATTCCTTCAATGTGTCTGAAAAATATTATGCACAAGGGTTATTTGAACATTTTTTTCAATTCTGAATCATTGTGTAATCTGAATGATCATCACATTCGAATGTTGCAGTAGATTGAAGGTGATGTATTTGCTATTCTGATCATGCGTTATTTGAATGTGGAGATTAATGATTTTTTTTCACATTATTTGCATGGGGGCCATTCACTTATTACGTAACGCTTTTAGGGGGGGGGTCTAAGATTTTGTTACGGTTCAAACAAGGAAACTTTTTTTTTTCATATAAATTTTGTTACAGGGGGGGGGGGGGGGTCTAAAAAGTCATTTTTTCGCGTTACGTAATAAGTGAACAGCCCCATGGGGAACTTGAACTTTGCGAGTTCATAGAGGTTGTGTAGATTAGTTTTGTTTACAAATGCTGTTCAGACTCAATTTTCCTACGGATTAAGTTTAAATGATCATAGACCACATATTATTCTGTAATACATCTTCAAAAACTCATTCAAGTCATACCTCAAATGAAATCAATACTCAAATTAAAATATCCCTAATGAGTAAAGCATAACAAGCTAATCATAGCCTCAACAATTTCTCAAGCATCATCTCCATGTCTATTAATAGTAAATCCATCTTGAACTGCTCGGATTATTTCAATTCCATATTTGTATTGGGCATTAATAGCTATAAAAATATATCTTAACACCATTCAAAGATTCTTTTTTTACTACGTTTTTCTTAACTTGCTTTCTTATCTGTTTGATTGATTGATTGTCCGCAAAATTTCGTACTTTTGTAATCGATTTTTCGACCACTTCTACTGCTCCAAACGAGCTTAAATTTTTAATGCACACGTATTCCCGGTGACAATATAATATTTTAACACTTTGGAAACACAAAAATGCTTAATTATAGTACAATTTATGTAAAACTTTTTTATATGGGAAAAAATCCAATGTCAATGATATAAAATTTTGATTTGTATTAAATATTATACTTTTGATGCTCTAAAGTCATTTATATGATTCATTATAGTTTAATTAATATTACTCATTATTAATTATACCATAAATTTGAGCAGCTAAAGATATTCTGGTAAGACAAAAAAATTGACAAGTAATTTTTTCATGAATATTCGTAAGTGAATATTTGAATTTTCAAAAAAACCGTTAAGCACAGGTCCGTTACGAATTAATGCAAAATAACTATTAATATGCGATGTGCATTTAGCACACAAAGTTTGAGCATAAATTTATGCTGTTTTAAATGTATTGCATTATTTTTAACACTTCACCAACTTAATTAAATTGACTTTTCATTTTATTAGCGGTTTGACGTATTTTTGCATAACATATAAATGATATTCATTGAATTTAAATTTGAAAATCCGTTATAAATACGTTACATATAGATGTGATTTGCATCTTTATGTTAAGAATCCACACGTTATGAAGTAGAAATGGTACAGATAAACACAAAATCTTTACGAGTGATTTTTAATGTACTTTACTGATGAATGCTTTAAAAAAATTAAATTTTATAAAATGAATGAAAAATTTTGAAAGTCGTTACTAATTTCCCATTGAAAACTGGTAATTTATAAACAGTTGAACGTAACGAAGTGCAACGAAGTGGAGTTCAACACACCTGTAACCTATAAACCTACTGTAATCTATAAACAGTTGAACGTAACGAAGTGAAACGAAGTGGAGTTCAACACACCTGTAACCTATGAACCTACTGTAATCTATAAACAGTTGAACGTAACGAAGTGCAACGAAGTGGAGTTCAACACACCTGTAACCTATGAACCTACTGTAATCTACAAACAGTTGAACGTAACGAAGTGCAACGAAGTGGAGTTCAACACACCTGTAACCTATAAACCTACTGTAATCTATAAACAGTTGAACGTAACGAAGTGCAACGAAGTAGAGTTCAACACACCTGTAACCTATGAACCTACTGTAATCTATAAACAGTTGAACGTAACGAAGTGCAACGAAGTGGAGTTCAACACACCTGTAACCTATGAACCTACTGTAATCTATAAACAGTTGAACGTAACGAAGTGCAACGAAGTGGAGTTCAACACACCTGTAACCTATGAACCTACTGTAATCTATAAACAGTTGAACGTAACGAAGTGCAACGAAGTGGAGTTCAACACACCTGTAACTTATGAACCTACTGTAATCTATAAACAGTTGAACGTAACGAAGTGCAACGAAGTGGAGTTCAACACACCTGTAACCTATGAACCTACTGTAATCTATAAACAGTTGAACGTAACGAAGTGAAACGAAGTGGAGTTCAACACACCTGTAACCTATGAACCTACTGTAATCTATAAACAGTTGAACGTAACGAAGTGCAACGAAGTGGAGTTCAACACACCTGTAACCTATAAACCTACTGTAATCTATAAACAGTTGAACGTAACGAAGTGCAACGAAGTGGAGTTCAACACACCTGTAACCTATAAACCCCCTATAATTTTTATTTCTCTATTGCATTAGAATAAGACTAAAAAGTAGAAAATAAAATACTTTATAAAAAAAACTTTTTAAAAAAACTACGTTTTTCGCGTAGACTAAAAAGTAGAAAATAACTTTTATTCTTGGTTGTAAAGAATTTGGTTTTAAATTTTCAGATTATATTTAATAAATTTTTATATCCTAGTCAATATTGTTCACAAAGTTTCGAATAAGTGCACTTTGATCTTATCGTATAACTCAACAACTTAAAAACGTGGGCGCATTAATTTAAGTTTATCATAAAGTATTGATTTCACATAAACTTATTTCTTCTCTTATAATGCGCCCACGTTTTTAAGTTGTTGAGTTATACGATAAGATCAAAGTGCACTTATTCGAAACTTTGTGAACAATATTGACTAGGATATAAAAATTTATTAAATATAATCTGAAAATTTAAAACCAAATTCTTTACAACCAAGAATAAAAGTTATTTTCTACTTTTTAGTCTACGCGAAAAACGTAGTTTTTTTAAAAAGTTTTTTTTATAAAGTATTTTTTATGGAATCTGATTTCTAAAATCTTTAATCTCTAACTGAATGAAAATAGAATTAAGTGAATACATTCCATTGATATGTTTTTCTTTTCTCTCTCATTTTGTCTTATTTTGGTCACAAAACTGAAATTTCTGCTGCTTCGAGTATTGTAAGATTGTGAGTTTGTGACTATAAATAAAGCTCCTTTACTTCTTCTTGCTCGTATTTCACGCTAGTCATTATATACAAACAGAGAAAGAGAGGCAAAAAATACCTCAAAAGTGCCGATTTCTAAAGTGAATGCATGTTAACAATACTTTATCGAAGCCTGTAAACGTTTGGAACTAAAAGTACGAATTGGCAAATATACAATGGACTTAAGTTTAGTCAATAAGAATGAATATAAGAGGTAATTTCTAAATGGCATTAAATTTATGTTCAATATTCACAATTGAATGTGGGTGATCTATGTTATAGGTCTTGTGCAACAATCTACTTTATTCATAAGTCATAGAAATGAGGTTAAGTTTATTTTGATTTTTTTGAACTGTTTGAAACTCATTTTGAGGAGGTTTTGAACGGAAACTTAAATATAAGATTGTTGGTTTATCATTTAGAAATTCTTATGCTTACTTTAACCCGAGTAGCACAAGTCGGATAATCGAGATGAAATCCTACTCTAGGACGACGTGGTTACGATCTAAGGGCGAATTTCTCGTCATGGCAAAAAATTTGCCCTAAAGTCGCCGTGATATCTTCCTTGCGTAGGATTTCGTCTCGATTATCCGACTTGTGCTCTCCGGGTAATATTTGTACAGCCTAAACTCAAATTTCCTTGATCATCTTAAGTTTCCCAACCTCAAATCATAAAACAAAGTCAACAAACCTATCAAAAATCAACAAATTCAAACCAATTGTTTGCTGCAGAATTCCATTGAACTCCCGACTGTATCCAATTATAATAAACCGATCATTAATCCTAATCACCCACTTTTATTTCTTCAGCATAGCTCTAATTCTTTTACAAATTTAACAGTTCACTTGCTTGACCATTCATTCATTAGCTCATTCATTCATGATATTATTTTACTTAACTTGATCTCAATTATTTCACACTTAAGGTTTCCACCACTACTTCGTCAGCAAAAACCGCATAGAGTAAATAAGTTAAGCAGCGATTAAGATGAATGATCATGTTGATGTCGACCCACGCGTAATAAATCTATTTCAAGCACTTATTAGAGACAATATATAGTGTGGCATTCTATTAAACTTAATAATTTTATTGTTTATGTAGTTAACTGACGATAGACTCAGGAAATTACCCAAAGATGGTGAAGTTGTTTGCACTCTCCATGTATTTGTGAGTTAGACATTTGAATTTGATTCATTATTCATTTGAATTGAGATTTCTCGGAGTTGATTTTGGTCGCCTACGATCTACCGCATATACTTGTGTATGTGTTTAAGTCTGTGCGACAAGGGAAACCAGTTTCAATAAAGGTGATTCGTAAAGAAATTCTGATGAACAGCCTACACTGATTTGTCCCATACAAAGCCACTAATGCATGAATAAAGAGATTATAAAAAAAGTGGCATAATAGCATCAAGTGATCAACATATGACTCATAAATTTACTCTTTACAGTTGACAATTAATGAAAAATCAAATTTAATCGACATTTTGTTCGTCTCGAATTTCCATAACAATAAAAATAAATTTTTATGTTATTGCGATGGTGTCAATGAAATTTAATTCTTTTGATTATTCTTCCTATTTTTTTTATGCTTTAGAATTATGTGTTTCGAATTAAATTGTAAATTCTTCTTTGGATACTAGAGCTTGATGTCGTCAAGATTTGATAGATTCTTAGTAAATTGTTTGTAGAATGAATAAAAGTTATTCTGTTGACTTTATGGTTGTAGAGTTGGTTCAAAACTAATCTAACATAGTTTTTAATCAAAACCTAGTTCTTTAGAAGGAATAATTTGATTTTATATTGTTGATTGAAGCGTAGAATAGCTATTTAGCTAAAAAAAAAAAAAAAAACCTTTACCTATTCAGATCAATTGTGATCCAGAGGTGCGCTAGGGCGATTCGCAGCTAATGAGAGTTTAACGAGTGCGGATGCGCCAAACCACTGCACTCAAACCTAGACCTACAATTTATAGTGGGATCCGAACCACTCCTTTGATGACATTTCTGTCTGTAGCCTACAAAGGAAGGCTGTGAGCCTCATTTCCAGTACATATGATTCGAAAAAGAACAAGTGAAAAATTTCCCATACCCAGTCTCGAATCCATGATCGCTGTGTCGGTATTGCAATAATTAGGTACCGAAGTACTAAACCATTCCGCCACCGAGCCACTTCAGCTCACCTATTTAGCTATCAGATGGTTAATAATCCTTTCTGGAATCAATTCCCGAATAGCAAAAGTCGGAAGATCGAGACGAAATCCTAAGCTAAGACGACTTGAAAGCAAATTTCTCGTCACTTGAAAAATTTGCTCTGAAGTCTTCCTGGTGCAGGATTTCGTTTCGATTATCCGACTTGTGCTACTCGGGGTAGTCAATTCTTATGCAAACAATCCACAAACAATATCGATTTTCTATTCAAAAGTTTCTCACTATCCTAAAAATTATGGAACCAAGTCATTCAAGGCTTAATTGCATATGCTGCTAAATCATAGACTAATGTAAATACCAGATGTCTCCATTATAAACCGTTCATATCTCTTATAATTTCAATCCAAGAAGTAGTAATCATTATTGACTATTGGATATTAACAAATCAAGTCATTCCACACACCCACAATGATAATTATATTTTTAATCGCATGCACTCAGATACATTTGATCGCCTATATCACGTCTGACTCTTCTTCCCCTTAGTGATCGTTCACTAATGACGTCCAATTTAAACGGTCATTTTTCAAAAAAGAACAATGGATTCCAGGAATTTTTATTGTTTTTTCTTGCTGACCCCCCCCCCCCCCCCCCTTGACGTCATAAGTGAACGGTCCCTTACTGAATTGCGTCAATAAATTTTAATCTTTACTTTATAATTTCAATCGAGTTTTTCCATCGCTTATAAAGAAGAAAGAATCCATTAACTTTCTTTAAATCTTATTTCCACAAAATATTTCTTTCTACATCCACACACTGTCTTAATACAGAAAGTTTTCTTAAATCCATAAAGTAATTAAACGAATGTCTCTGAATTAAATGTTTATGTTGAGTCGTTGACACTTCAATTTGTATTTAAATTTGTCATTGCTAACCACACAAAAGTCACTAAATGATGTGTGGCATCTTCTCATAACAATTACCGACTGTGAAGTGCAATTAAGTAGTTGAGGCTTCTTAAACATCGTGTTGAGTGATTAGCATACAGACGTAATAGTACAGTCAGTCTCACTTCCAACAATTTCACTGATTATATCGACTTCTAAATGGATTTATGATAACAAATAGCGGAAGTTGAGGAAATTGAATTTTTTTATGCACGCCACTTCTTGCTAAACGTATCAACGTAATGAAGACATCTTACATGCTCGAATCTTGTGGAATGTTATGAATGAATGCCTATTTTTAGTCTATGGGATGAAATTGCACATTATCTTCTTCATATCTTTAGGCGTGGCACAGCACTTTTCACATACGTATGCTTCTTGTTATTATATTCACTCTTCTCCACGCATTTGTTATTTTTTTCATGTCTAAAGGTGCCTTTGAGGGTAGATTGTAATGATGAAAATATATATGTGCTGCTAAAATTATTAATAATGAATATGAATCACTAATATTTTCTTAATAAATCGATAAATAATCTTTTGAGGTGGAATTTAGCTGATTACATGAAGTTTTATGGTCAGTTTGACTTTATTTGTTGCATCTTTACTGGATCTTTGATTGCTGAATGTTCATGTGGATTTTTCTATCGTAACTGTTTTTAATGAATTAATAAGACATTTTTCTGTGCTATAAAGCTTACCATATACCCGATAAGCGCTTTATATCTAAACATCCAGTTACGTTGAACATTTCGAACCTGTCAGCATAACAATAAATAATAATTTGAGTTCGGAAAGTGAAAAGGAAAGATTAATTTGCTTTGTATTCGCCAGTCTTCTTGCATATATGGCTTCGTCCATATATTGCAGAAGCAATAATCCTATCTAGACAGTGAGACGAAGCATGTTTGTGTATGTAGCAAGTATGCATTAATAAAATATCATTCATGATAGACACAGACATTATGCAATCAATTTGAAGACATAGATACAGGCAGCAATTGAATGTACAGATGTGGCTAGCTTTAAGAATCCACGTCTACAACATTTCAGGCTGTGTAATCATCATAATTAATTCCCATAATATAAAGGTAGTCAAGAGAGCGAAAAATGAAAGAAATTGCAGACAGATGTCCATAAAAAGTCATCGCTGGAGACCAGAAAACTTAATAAATTTAAATTTCTTTTTCCCGATGTCCATTTCTGATGTTTTGTTGATTATTATGTTGTAAAAAGTGAAACAAAATTATTATTTTTGAGAAACTTTCACGAATAGATAGGTAAAAGTTTGCAATGGAATTAATGAATTGACTTTTTATGTGTGACACTTACTGTTTTTTGGGTACTCAGCTGCTTAAACAACTTCGAGATGCTGTGGAATCGTAAGAAATGTGGAATACATTTTGATTTTTGAGTTGTTTTTGTGTTTCAAAACCATACAACAGTTTATGTGAAAACCGTACAAATTTTACTCGATTGTAGGGTTTTAATAGACACATACAACAGCTTGCTAATATGAAAACCTTACAACAGCAATAAAAATTTGAATCTAAAATTATCGTTACATTTTATAGCAAATCAATAAAGAATCCATACATTGGAAAATCAATATTTCATGCCATAAAACATACAAAAACCACCTACATGCTGTAAAGTTTTTTGAGATTGTTTTCTTTTTACATCTTCATTAAGTAAACAAACTAAGATGTGCAAATTGTATTCAACGTGTACAAATAAAATCCCACTCAAGTGTGTAGCTAAACCTGAAAAAAAAGCATAAAAAATAAAAATCACCAAAAAATTTCAAAAAAGTTTAATGAACTTTTTATTTCTCATGATTTTTTTTTCTCTTTTCTGTTTCTTTACTTCCATTTAAAAAACACATCAGCATTTTGGGGCCATTCACTTATTACGTAACGCTTTTAGGGGGAGGGGGGGGTCGAAGATTTTGTTACGATTCAAACAAGGAAATTTTTTTTTCACACAAATTTTGTTACAAGGGGGGGGGGGGGGGTCTAAGAAGTCATTTTTTCGCGTTACGTAATAAGTGAACAGCCCCTTTAAGATTTTCTCGTTCATTATAATACTAATGTTTGAAAGAATATTAATCGTAATGTAAGCAAATGGATATGCTGATTATATTTGAAAATCGAGGAGATTTTGCAGATTTAATTTATATGCTTTTTGAGAGACTGGCAAAGAAGTAGCTGATAACTGTATTGTTATAGATGCTATTAGGTAAGTGTCAAGAAGAAGCTGATTGGAATGCGATTTTAGGTAGGTCAGTAAGCAGTTAAGTGCCTTGCTGGTCGAATAGGTAAGGTGCTTGGCTCAAATTTGGTATGGTAACTCGGAAGGTCGTCGGTTCGAATCCAGCCATTTCCAAATTTGTTCTTTTTCAGAAGTTTAGATACTTCGACTGCTCAATGTACGAGATCAAGCCATAATTGGGCATTTTGGGCAACGTTGGATTAAGGAACGGATCAGGAACTTGAAGTGTAGCGGGAGAAATAGGAACGAGAGCTACAAAATTACCTTATAATGGAATATTGTCAGAACGGACCTTAAATGTATCACGTCACGCCCACAGAAGATTGAAACGAGAGCCTGAATTTGATCGAAACCTAGATTTGAAGATTAGAAGCTTGATTCTACGTCACCCATAGTGATATGAAATGTATCACTAATCAATGTAAAAAGTAAAACATGTATAAATACTAATTCTTCCGGACGGTAACGTCGACAAATAAATAATAATAAAAGGTCAGAGACGAGGAACTGACCAAAAATTGTCTAATTGAGCGTTAAATTTTCAAATTGTTCTGCAATTGTTATTTTTCAAATATTTTATGACCGTTAATTTTCAATACTTTTAAACCTGTCAATCTATCAAATTTTAGGCCGTTCTGTGCTTTCATTAATCTCAAGTATCCAGAGTTGATAACCTAGAATCAAGGAATTTGAGTAAAAAGTCAATTTTCTATTCAGAAACTTCCAAAATCCAATTCTTTATTGAGAGCATTTCTCATTACAAAAACGAGCCACAATCTCAACATTCATCATCATAATCCAGCATTACAATACAAGAATAATCTCGAAATAAATTGCCAATCCTGTAAAAAAGCTCCAAAAATTGTCTGCGAAATTAAAAATAAAAAAAGCCATTTTACAATTATTTTTGACGTTAATTTAAAGCAATGCAACGATTTTATTACGAAATCATGTAGATTCCTTCCATTTTTCTCTTAATAATTCCTTAAAAAATGCCATTTTCAAATTAGTTTTTTTCCTTTGAGAAAAAAAGGACGAAAATTGAGAAACAATACTGCCATGTAAGTCGGTCTTTTATCGTTTTTTTTATATCATCAATAATAATGCAAATGAATTAATAAAGGAACAAATCTTGTGTGTTTTTTTGTTAAGTTAATTTTATATACTTTTATAATAATTTTATGACAGAAATTTTTCATTCTTACTTTAATTCCTTCATTCTTGCAAAATTGTGTAAGATATTTTTTGAGAGATTTTACAAATTTCAAAAAAATTAAAAAAATTACAGAAACTTCAAAATGAAACTTTTTTGCTTTCTTTTGTTTTTAAGGATAAAGTTGGGGGAGCAGGCAGTGTGTTACACATTAAAAAGCATTTTTTCCAAACATTTTGCATTATTAAACTTTTTGAGAGAAGAGTTTTGGTTTGGTTTGGGGCTAGGAAGGAAGGTAGGGGGGAGTCAATTAGGACGTAAAAAGGATAAATTTGAACGAATTTAATTCTCGTCAACTTCAGCTTCTTGTTCTTCGTCAAATTCAGCATCCTCGTCAGCTGTTGCTTCTTGATATTGTTGATATTCACTGACAAGATCGTTCATGTTGCTTTCGGCTTCTGTGAATTCCATTTCGTCCATACCTTCACCAGTGTACCAATGCAAGAAAGCCTTACGACGGAACATAGCTGTGAATTGTTCGCTAATACGCTTGAAGAGTTCCTGAATGGCTGTTGAATTTCCAATGAATGTTGCACTCATTTTAAGACCACGTGGTGGAATGTCACAAACGGCTGTCTTGACATTATTTGGAATCCATTCAACAAAGTAACTGCTGTTCTTATTTTGAATGTTGAGCATTTGTTCATCAACTTCTTTCATTGACATACGTCCACGGAATACAGCAGCAACTGTAAGATAACGTCCATGACGTGGATCACAAGCTGCCATCATGTTCTTTGCATCGAACATTTGTTGTGTCAATTCTGGAACGGTTAATGCACGATATTGTTGTGAACCACGTGATGTTAATGGTGCAAAACCGGGCATGAAGAAGTGAAGACGTGGGAATGGAACCATGTTGACAGCCAATTTACGCAAATCAGCATTGAGTTGACCAGGGAATCGAAGGCAGGTAGTTACACCAGACATTGTCAATGAAACTAAATGATTCAAGTCACCGTATGTTGGTGTTGTGAGTTTTAATGTACGGAAACAGATGTCATAAAGAGCTTCATTATCAATGCAATATGTCTCATCGGTGTTTTCAACAAGCTGATGGACTGAGAGTGTGGCATTGTAGGGTTCAACGACTGTGTCTGATACTTTAGGTGATGGCACGACTGAATACGTGTTCATAATACGATCTGGATATTCTTCACGGATCTTTGAGATGAGTAATGTTCCCATACCAGATCCAGTTCCACCACCAAGTGAGTGTGTCAATTGGAATCCTTGTAAGCAATCACATGATTCAGCTTCCTTGCGAACGACATCGAGGACTGAATCAACTAATTCAGCACCTTCCGTGTAATGTCCCTTAGCCCAGTTATTACCAGCTCCAGATTGTCCAAAGACGAAGTTATCAGGTCGGAAAATTTGTCCAAATGGACCGGAACGAACTGAATCCATAGTACCTGGTTCCAAATCGACTAAGACTGCACGTGGAACGTATTTTCCACCTGAAGCTTCATTGTAGTAGACATTGATGCGTTCCAATTGTAAATCGGAATCGCCGTGGTATGCGCCAGTTGCGTCAATTCCATGCTCGTCAGAGATAATCTCCCAGAACTATTAGGAAGAGAAAAATAAATAAATCAGATTAGACATTTTTGCATATTAGATTTAAATGAATATTTTTGTGAACATAATTGACCTATAAAGCAGTCAACATTAAAATACGATGAATCATTGTGGCAACACCTTAATGACGACGACCTCAAAAAAAGTATAAGTGAAGAATGGAAAAAGAAAGTAAGACTTGAGAGAATGAGAAAATAACTTCTTTTTTTCAAGAGCAATTTTACGTGAAATAATACGAGATCGCTTTGGATGAGTAGGTACGCGAAACATGCTTCATTTCCTATCTCATTATGGACTAGTTTGATTCTTTTTCTATCATAAAAACCGTTAAATTTTTAAAATTTAAAGCATCGCTTTAGAAATTCAAATTTTTAAAATCCGGTAAAATTTGAATCTCAAAAGTCCGTTCAATTTTTATTCCTCTTTAAATGCGCTCAAATCTCCAACATCACATCATTTCCACAAAATTCCAAGCTAACTGTATCTGAAAAAGTAAGCCGTAGAAAGAAATGCACGTCACTGTTTCCATAGCAATAGAAAATATGCAAACACAATATGAAAACTATGTAGACGCGGCACAATCATTAATCTTGCTACTCGCCGCACGTAGAGCTTACGAGAGAACCGGAAAGGCCATTAACATTGTTTCGCAATCAATTGGAAAGAAATATGATGAAAATAATAAATTTTTGCATGTATTAAAAAATATATGATTCGTGGGCGCTTGAAAACTATTTCTTAATACCAGCACAGATGCTGATCTCATTATGCGCAGTACAAGAAATTTCTTCTCCTTTCTTTTTGCTTTTTTCATTCGCGAAAATAAAGATACCGCATTAAGAAATATAATTTATTGTATGTATCTCTCGGCATTCCATTACAAAAAATACAACTACACTCATGCTGTGCTCTTCAATTGTTATAAATTCATGTTACAGTCTGTTGACTTTTACAACCGCGCTGATGTGTATCTTCAATAGGAAAGTATTTTCAGGGATGGATGATTGTTGGGTTCTTTTTAAAGGGAAAATCTATGAAATGTATTTGTTGTGGGTAACATATGGCAGTGAGTGGGACAGCTGTGCATTATTTTTAGGAACAAGAAGTGGAAGGTTCATCAAAATTACAAGAAATTTGAATTTGAATGCTCGAAAACCTTACAAATGTTTCCTAATTTGAATCAAAACCTTTCAACAGATACAAAATGTTTGAAAACCTTACAAATGTTTTTTAAATTCCAAAACCATACAAATTCAAATTTCTCCAAAAAATATTGAATTAACCTCGCGCATATCCCCTGACATCTAGCTCGTCACATCATATTGTTATTTGTTGATTTGTTTTTCCGTTAATGAAACTAACGCCCACACAAATACATTATGTTCTTCCGTATTGAATATTTTTGGTACCCAAAAAAATTATCGAGTATATCGCGACTTGGTACGAAACAATTTGTTTCATTAAATTTCTCCATTCAGTGCGTCATCTTAACAATAAATTTAAAGAAATATGAATATGTGTGGAACTGGAAATGTTGCGTGATAGCTAGACATCAATAGACACAATTGAACATTTATTTAGCCAAGGCTGCTTCTTTTCGATAATTTCATGGGTAAAAAAAATGCTGCTAAGTTTATGGCATGCACAAGAAGAAAAGAGAAATTAACGGGATATGCCAGCGAGAGGAGAACAAGCCAGTCACTTTCAGATTGAGATTCTGAATGAGCATTCACAACAGTTTCTTATGTGGGAAAAATAATAAGAAGTTTAAGCGACGAAAAAATGACCATAAATGGAAGCAAAAAAAGTTTTTTTGTGTCGTGTTGTTGTGTGTGCCTTAAATTTTCGCGATCACAGAACGTTTAGTTTTCAATATATATAAATTATATTACATCCATTGACAAAAACGTTTTAGTCGCTGTTACTCATACATGCTTATTAGGCAAGAGATGGCGTTATTGATTTTTTTCGAAACTGGAAGTTGATGAATATTGACTGGATCTCATCAAATGTAAGATCCAGTAAGACAAATCGCAAAAACTAAGATCCAGTAGCTCAAGTTTCAAGAAAATAATTTATGGCTACAACAACACAATTTTAATGTCTGCTTGGAAAATTTTTATCGATTTTATACCAAACTGCAGTATATTTTATATCCAACAACTCAATACTATGAAAAGTCTCAAATAATACCTAAATGTCTCTTATTTCATATATTTTGCAAGCTACAACAACAATTAATTAAATAGTCTCACATACAAGTCAAGTACATAAAGATTTATGTGCTTTACATGGCTGCATACTTAATATTCAAGATCCAGCGCATTGCTGCACTTAAAATTTACAAAGTGCAAAATTTATTCTTAATGATCCAGAGATCAAAAATTTAATTTGCTTGTAGTGACATTTCTGGAGCTTATTAGATCGAGTAAATCTCACAATTGATGCAATACATCGCAAAATTATTCGCAAATAGTCACAAAACTTCCCAAATGACAATATATGAATGGAATGTCAAGATCCAGATAAAAAGAAGTAAACACAAGTGCAAATATATCGCAGACTTATGAGATCATCATTAATTAATATTAAAAATGATCTTGAATAACACGAAAATGGAATTAAAGGAACGTAAAACTATAAAGATTTTGTTTATCAATCAAAAATGATAATGAAGGAATCGAGATATTCAGGAATTTATAATCAGGTGATGTGGATTATGGACATTAATTATTTAAATTATTCAAAATGAGCGAAGGATGTTCTGGATTACGTGTGAAAATTGCGGAACCAAGTTGAAATTTTGCAAAATTCGTCCTTAATAAGTTTCAATTTTATTGAATTTATGGCAAAAAGAAATCGATTTTTATGTCAGAATGGAGGAAATAAAGATGGACGCACTTTTCGGTAACCGTTTTTTTTTCAGGGCGTCTTTGAATGTGTTCGTTTTACCGGATAACTTAGTGTGTGTGATGTCTAACGGCTTTTATGGTTAGATTTTTGCAAAAATTTACGTGATATTAACTTATTTTATGGACGATAACTTCACAGTTGAGTCAATTTACGAGAAAATTTTACAGTTTCACTAAATTTCATGCAACTTTCATCATAAAAGTATCAATAAAACATGAATCATGTCTTTCACACACAATCATATCAATTCCAATGGAATTTTTGTATCTTTTGTTCTACCGGCAATTTCTTATTCCATCTTTTTACACTTTTAGTGCCAAATTTTCATTAAATTCACTCTTAATTTTTTCGTCTGGATGTTCTTACCTTAGCTCCAATTTGGTTTCCGCATTGACCAGCTTGAATATGAACGATTTCACGCATGTTGAATAGGTTTTTTTTGACTTTTTGATTCAATAAATTAAAAAATTAGTTATAAAATAGCTTTTGATGCTACACAAATACGTTCTTTTCCACAAAAATTAATTATTTAACTCTTTTTTTTTCTGTCTTAGTTTGGGCTTGGCTTTAAAACACTTAATTTTTTTGTCTAGCTTCCAAACACGTCTTCTTGAGTGCGACGAACAATGAGAAATGAGGGGAATTTTTCTTGCGCTTTTCCTTTTATACGCTTCCTTTGTGGCGGGGATTAAGTTTTGCAACTGGATCGATTTTTTGCCCCTTATTGACGTTGTAAAGCCGCAGTCACAATTTTTCTCTATCGATTTACGTCCTCTTTACTGTATTATTATGATCTGTATCTTATTCTAATCATTTCTGTTTACTTAATTCCTAATCTTGTGCTGTAATTAATGAAATAAATGGAACTTTTTTGCCGGGAATTTTCAAATTTTATGCAGATGTTCCCCTACAACGGTTTTTAAAGAAGACTTTTTTTGATTTCTACACCTCATGTTATTAAATTCGAAAAAATCAATAAAAATTGTATTAAATTGACAATTAATTATGCCGTAAATTGCACCAACTTGAAACTTGCACACAAATTATTAATTCTACAGAATCTAAACCTTGTTAAATAGCGTAAATATAGGTGAATTCATGATAGTTTAACAATGTTTACTTTATGTTGTGTTGAAGCCAGCTTTTGAACGAAAAATTTAAAATTAATGAAACCGTTATTCAGATATGAACGATAAAAAAGTTTAACATCATTAGCTTTTTGTGGATTTTAGGTAAATTAATTGTTGTTGCTTGAATAAAATAGAGCTTTCTGTCTTTAAATTGGTAAGTCGTTAAGTTATGAAGGATATTTTTGGCTACTTTCTGTACAACTTGAAAAACTATTAATAGAGGGTATGATTTGATAACAGCATTGATAGGCATTGCAATGTTTTTCAAATAGACCATATAACAGTGTTACCTCTTATCAATTTAGGATGTAAATGTAATAGTTTTATGTTTATAAACAAATTACAAAATCTGGTATTCGAAAATTACAATCAATTTGTTTTTCGATTTAAATACTTATATATGGATGTAATATTTTTTGAAAATCAAATTTAGCATTAGACTATGACTATGCTTTTAATGAGAATTCGGCAGTTGATAAATTTTTTATAAATCAACGGATATTTTTTTTTGAATTTTCGCATCAGTTTTGCATCATTTTTTGAAAAAATCGTTTTAAAGCTAAACCGTTAAAAAATAAAAGCTTAAAAATCTACAACATGCACGTATTATAATATATGGCACTTAACTTTATTGGTTTTACTTAATCTTGCTGATTTTTAATTAATCACATTATTTTTCTCTAGAATTTCCTGCCTTTAAAAATAATAATCCCAGTTGATCTAATTGCTCTCTAGCAGTAGTTTATAAACAAATGCAAACCTATTGAATTTCACTTTCAATTAAATTTAAATATTAATCACAATGTATTAAAAACAATTTTTAAGGTCTATAAACTCAAATTTCATTGGATGTTGGCATAAGTAATTCTCCATTAAGCAAAAATTTGCAAAAAATTTCGCATGTCTCTTGATTTGTGTCATATCATTGGGATTGTATAAATCTTTACTAATGATACAAGCTGGATTTTCATCCTTTCCACAAGTCATGTAACAAACACAATTTCCATAACTTTTGATTGTTTCGCAATAAACTACTCGTAGAAATTTAAAAGGATTCCATGAGTACGCTGATTGGATGAGGAGGAATGAGATCAGGAATATAAGAACTATAATAAAATGAAAATTAGTGGAAAATATTAATTTAATTAAAGTTCATACCTTTCATTTTATAAATTTTATTTGGAACTGGAACAATATTTTTTACCTAGCTAGAATACTCAGCTAAGTTATCTCTTTGTAAATTCACTTTATCAATTGAATGAATACAGAAGATGTAGCTAATTTATACATATTTCGAAATAAGATCATGGAATCGCAATGGAAAAATGACTAACAGATAACAAAAGTTATAGGAAAAATTCCGGAAGTAAAGGCTTTATTTATAAATAATACGTTCGCTTGTTAAGGAATTGTTTATAAAATAATAATACAACTTAATCTTAATTAACAACAGAATGACGAATGCTATGAAATACACTGGTACATATTATCAGATTTCACCATGCATAATTTCATCAACATATCTCGTGAATACTGATCAGTTTGTTTTAAGGTTTTGTAAAATCTAATACTCATGATTTAAGGAAAATAATTTGATCAACTAGTCCAAACATTGAGTTAACTTATTCCTGTTTCATATTCCATCTATGTTTTATGTTCATCATTTCGAGTACTTAACTCCCAAAATAATTGAGAAAAGAGAAGAAACAAAATTTCTGCGATCATATGTCTTTAAGATATAAAACCACAAGGCATTCTTGCTCAATCTATAGTATTACTTTAGAACTCATACCAATCACATCCAATTTATTACTTAACAAATAATGTCTGCAAAACAGCAAAATAATTTATGGAATTTAATTATAATTTTATCTTTGTTACCATTAATTAAGAGTCATAATGACGCATCGGGATTGAATTTTAGCAAAAGTTGTGATAATCAAGAAAATGTTGAATCAAATTTGTTAAATTTTTCACACAAAAGTGGTAATAAAATATTGCAAAATAGTAATAATTTTAAAAAAATTAATAATTTTATTAATCCAGGTGATGAATTCAACTTTAAATTCGACTACAGTGAATTTAGTTTGAATTTCACAAGTGATGAAATTTCCTCGGAATGTCGAAATTCAATAGAAGTTCTGGAACAACGTGCAAAGTTGTTGGACTTAAATGCATTAAAAAGTGAGAATAAATATATTTTTTAATGATCCATCACAAATGATGTCCAAATTTTAAGCGGAAACGAGTTCGAAGGTTGTGTTAAAATAGTTGAGCTTCATTTGTGAACAACTCTAATGGATCGTGCGTTTTATGAGTGATCGAATTAATTTTAAAACCTTAAATTTTACAGTCCTCGATGCAAGTGCAAAAATTGGAAGTGGAATATTAAAAGGAAATATTAATAACCTTGGTGACTTTGACGAGTGCCTCGAATCAAAAGTTGAGAATTTTCAAGGAAAATATTGCCTTGCTGAGATCCAATTCGAGATCCACACGCATGTTAAGCATTTCAAGAGATTAATTTTGGCTGATGAACCATACAAAAATGAACTCGATGACGTAAGTATCAAGGATAATTATTTTGTGTGTTGATTGATTGATGTTTAATCGTGAATGTGAACAGCTAAAACTAGCAAATAATTTGAAAATACTTATAAGTAGGGTGTCTATCTGCTTAGTTTATAGGAGAGCAATCTTCTGTCTTTCGAATTTTCAAAAAAAACCACAACTTTATTTTTTCTTAATTCGTCCATAAAACGATTAAAATTGATCAACATGGAAGATGCTTTCTATTTTCCTTAAAAAATATCTGGTCACTCAGCTTATGAATGATCATTATTGTGAGGAAATTATTGTAATTTTAAAATTAATTGAGCCGAGGAATTTAAAAGTGAAATATTGAATGCTAACCTATGAAGATGGATATCCCGACATTTAGACTTGTTAGAAGTCATTTTTTGGAGCTCATTTGGGTCTACCAAAACTCTTACCAGCTCCAAATTGTTTTGTGGAGTAAAACTTATAAAAATATTTCAATTCCCCAAATGAAGCTTAAATCATAGACAAAAAGAAATTACATTCCAAAAAAAAATCTATAAAAAGTAGCACAAAAGATGAATGTGGATTGATCATGACCTAGCATGACATTTCATACACAATCATTACAGGTGCTTAAACGTTAGTGACGTCTTTGTGGTGTTTAATTTTAGAGATTTAACACTTGGTCCATTCTCAAAATCGTATACTTGCAATATAATACTAAGTAATAAATATTCTTTTAAGTGCTTAGCCAAACTATTATTGTCGTTTTTTCCTGTTCTCATTAAATTTAATTTTTGTAGGGCATCAAAAACAGCAAACTCACTCGAGTGACGTTTATCTGCTCATGTGTGAACTGGAAATAATGTTTCCTTTTACTTTGAGGAGACATTCAATTATTACGTCTATGATTAGTGTCTTGTTCTTTAGCCAAAGCAAGTTTGAAAATCCAACTTTTTATGGACATAATTTGCGAAGAAACCTTATAATGGCTCAGTAAATATTAGTCATCTTAATCTTTCCATGATCTTTAGACCCTTCACGCTGTTCAATGACGTCAGAAGTTCAACACAACTGCGAATTTCTTTTTAATTCTACATGCTAATTAGCTTCTTTTTTTTTTGAAAAATCATTTAAGATTACTCACATTCTCCCAAGAACGTCGACAATACTTTGGGGTGTTTGTATGCCATCAACATGTAGCTATAAGGAACTAGAAGTAGCTTTACGTAATACTATTGAACATAAGTTTGGAAAATATTTGATCTCAGTACAAATGAAAGTAAAAGAACATAATTGTCAGGTACAAGAAGAATTTTCATGGATTAATGTAAGCAATGGAACAAAATTGACTATGTGAGTAGACGTACGAACAAAGAAGTAAAGCAATAATAAATAATTAAGTATGACTATAGCAGAGATTTGTTTTAATTTCAGAGCGCTGTTTTTGCTGCTTTTAATTTTATCATGTGTAGCCACAGTCTATGACTTAAACTCATTAAAATCTCAAAAGAATGAGGTTTTAACAGCATTTTCAATGAATAAAAACTTTAAGGAAATAATGTCAACAGACATAAGTCCACGAGAAATTCCGTCTCTACATGGCATCAGGATTCTTAACAGCTTAATGCTCATTTTAGGACATAAATCTATGGGAGTTTTCTTCCAGCCATTAGTTAACAAAGCCAATGCATCTGAGGTTTATAACTCATATGCTTCAATCCCACTAAGAGCAACATTTTTGCATACAGAAATATTCTTAATGCTCAGTGGACTGTTACTAACACATTCGTTAGTCGGCAAACTCAATCGAGGTCGAAGGATTGACATTGTGAAGGAGATTGCTGCGAGATATTTTAGGTTTATGCCACCTGTAATTACTTTAATGCTAATTTCAACATTCATTCTTCCATTGCTTGGAAATGGTCCATTATGGCCAGATTCTGTGATTTCTCAAGTAGACATCTGCAAAAAGAACGGCTGGATGAATTTACTTATGATTCAGAATTGGTTTGGATTTGAAAATATTTGCAACTTTAATTTGCATCATGTTGGAACTGATTTCATCATTTTTATGGCATCACTTCCTATCATTGTATATCTCCATAAATTTCCTAAATATAACATGACTATTATACTTGTTCTTGGCGTACTTTCAACAATTGCACGCGGGTATGTCACTTATGTGACCGATGTTATGATTTATATTAAATTCGGAAGCACGTAAGTATTAAAATGCATGGAATAATCAATTTGGTTTAATTGAAAAGACGAGGAAAACAAGTTCGCTAATTAGAACTTAAGGTTTTAATCTTGTTTATTCTAAAGAGCTTTCAAAAATAAACTTAGTTCTGTTCTGGGAAGCACTTGGAAATGTTTTTAAGACCTTTCAACTCATGAATCTGAACACAGTTCTGTTTCGGATTATTCAAACACGAATGTGCATTTAATTGAAGTCAATTTGCTCTTATTATGGCTTAAACTAATTAATTCTGAATTTTGCAGCACGAAGCAAATGATGAATACAGCAAACTTTATGTACGGGATTCCACCATATCGATTTACGTCATATTCAATTGGAATCGTAATGGGATACATCTTGAGAAATCAAAAACCTCAGAAATTAGGATCAAAAATTGTTAATTTAGGATGGATTGCTGCTACATCTGCAATTGTACTTATTGGAATATTAGCTACATACGTTCACGTTGCCTATACACCACTTAATATGGCAATATTCTCTGCATTAACCCCTAATCTCTTTTGTGCTTTCTTCGCATGGATTATTTACGTTTCCCATCATCAAAGTGGAAGTAAATATTAGCAGACTCTTTCAATTTTCGATCCATTAATCATCCCTTATTATTATTTTTTTTTGTAGACATATTTACAAGAATTTTCGAATGGAAGTACTTTAAAGTAACATCAGCATTATCATACGGAATTTACCTCCTACAATTCCAAATATTTGCATACATTATTGGTACAATAAGAGGTCCAGTATATTTTACTGCATATAATCAAATGGTAAGGATATAAATTATCATTCTTTGTTGAATCAGTTGAATATTTGCTAGGTCCTTAATGAATAATAAGACAATTCTAAGTTATAATACATGCAAACAATCCTTACTTAACATTTTGGGCGTTCCGAAAAAAATCTAAGATTGACTGTATTTGATCAATGTATATAAGTTTCGTTCTTAAATGACCTTGATTAAAAGGTCTAGAGTTAAAGAATTTCAATCCATACTATGAAATTAAACAGTTTTGGTCTGTAGAGCTCTTTTCTACTCAATTCTATTCTTGAAGAAAAAAAAAACTTGATCTTCAAAACAGGATATCGCAACAAATCAATGTAACCAAATTTCCGAACTTCAAAGAAATGTTAAACTTGAAACGGCTCTTTATTTTACAACAATTTGGACTCTTTGTTTATTATTAAATTGAAGTAATCGCAATTCGAGAAGATAATAATGAAGTAATAGAATGTTATCATCATTGTGTATAAATTGATTGATGATCGTAAAAATCAAAATGACGGAACAGCTTTTACTGCACGAGATTGATTATATGATTGATATTTTTGCAAAATATTTACACTAAAGTCCAGTTGATGTATTAAACCCCCTCGGCCACACATTTTAAAGATTTAATCTTTTATTACATCTTGACCTAATCATGTCATTTCCGTTTCATTCCAGTTTCATCTTAATGAGCTTCTTTTAATATTTATTGGGGCTTTCTTGATGACTTTGCTGGTTGAACTTCCATTTGGGAATTTAAAAAAGATTATTTTTGATAAGACAGCACCTGAAAAAATTAATACGACTAAAAGTGATAAGGAAGAATAAGTAAATACTGATTTAAGGTATCATATATTATATTTATTGTGTTAAGATAAAAGGTTTGTGAAATTTGATATTTCGAATATAATAAAATTATTTTAATTTTTGAAATCTTCTTGAAAGACATTCACAAATGATGTAGAGCTTAAAAATCCCCTTTTAATCATTTGTGAGTGGCTTTATATTTCTTATTATTTAATAATCCCATGTTTCAGTAAATAAACTAATTAAATAGAATTGCGGCACTAATACATCTCGGTTAAAGCCAGTTTGCCTTTTTAAAATTCATAAAACAATAAATTTGCTTATTCGATCCAAAATTAAAAATATGTTTCTTTAAGAAATATATAGATTGCCTTAGGTAAATAGTACTTGGCTAATTACATCTATAGGGAGCAAATAGACAAAAGAATAATTAAATTTTGGGAAAAAGATAAATAGGCAAAACTTAATTAATAAATAAAATCGTTCAGAATCAATTCGTTGACTTTATAATTTTGGATTAAACACAAAAACAATCTGCATTTGATTATAATTTAAACTTAACTGTAACAAGCCAAAAGTGCGTAGAATACGTAATTAATTAGAAATCTAAGAATCTACATTTTAAATCAAAAAATCTAAAAGAAATAAAAAGAATCATTCATAATGAAATAATCTCATACGTTACCCTCCAAACAGCTGTTTTAGTTTGTGCTACATCGCTCACATCATCTAAGAGCACAAAATGTTATTTTATGCTCCACATATACATCAACAGATTCGCATACAAACACTAAACAGATTTCCTTTGTCAAAAAGTAATCAATTACTCAAAAATTCTACAATAAAGCAGCAGTGAATGAAGTAAACAGCTTAACACAACCATACAGAAGCACATGTTGCTTGCTTGTGATCGTGATGCAGTTTATTTTATTGAGAGAATGAGAAGGAAAAAAATTCGATGTGACGAATCAAAAAAGCTGAATGAATATAATGTGAATATCAGTTTACCATGCACAACTGTGAGAAGCAGAAGTAGAAATATTGAAAAGTAAAATTAAAATTATTTACATAATGAAAAGAATTTGCACAATAAAAATTAATTAAAATTTCGTATTAAAGGTAACGAAAAATAGGTTTAAAAATGTGCACAAAATTTTTTAAAACAAGTTACATAAAATTTAATGAGTTTTTATTTGTGAAAAAGAAAAAAATACACATAAAGAGGCGTCAATGCTCGAAAATAAATAAGTTTTGTAATTTGTCTATATAATTTTCATCACTGTTGTTTAATCTCGGCTGTGTTTTTTGTGGAGTCGCAAAGGGTTTATGAACTGTAAATACATTTGTCTGGCTTATTTGCCGAAAAAGTTTAAAGTTCATTCTGATGAAAATGTGCGATATATAAAGAGTAGATTGCTGTTAAGCAACAATCAGACAGTAAAATGTTAAGTTCCAGTTTTTAAGTTGTTGATAAATAAACAACTTCATATCTTGTTTAAATATGTGTATTTTTGAACAGCTACACAAGATTCTATTTGAGAATTAAAAGCAAGTCTGAAGTTTTTATTCTTAAAATGTTCAAAAATGAATTGCAAATTAGAATTTCAGCGCCAATAATTTTTTTGTATCGTAATCTAATCCACAAAAGCCGCTTTAGCGCAAACAAAAATGAACAACATGTTCTGTAATATTTTTTTTCACACGTTTAATGTGACAATTTGCTAGACATTTCCGCTAATACTATCAAGTGCTCTTTCTAGTTTTATATTTTTTTATAAATAAAGGTCTAGAGTAGTGAACTTGAAATATGAAAAGAATATGAATTGAAAATATCTGTATAACGATAAGAGAGTAAAAATCAGCCACTTGAGAATGATTTTCAAGTTTTTACAATGTTTACATTTTCTTTACTGTAGATATTAGGGCAATAGAGTAGACACAACCACATCAATTAAAATATTTGCATGATGAACGAAAGTGAATTAAATTCATTAGATGCGGAAGCATCGAATAAAGTACAAATTCTTGAGACGCCAGAAGAGAGAAAAATGAGACAATTGTCTCTCAAAATCATCTACTTCACAATGTTTCTCATGACACTCGGATTCTCAATTATTTTGACTGGCATTTGGCCGTACTTAGATAAGGTAAAAACAAGACTCGTACGATCATTAAAAAATGGAATCATTATTTTTATGTTTATACACAGTTAGACAAAAATGCTGGGAAAGAATTTATGGGTATGATTGTTGCCGCAAATCCATTAGGTCAATTTATATTTTCACCAATTTTTGGATGGTGGGCAAACAAGGCATCATCGATTCGCACGCCGTTTATCGTGTCTATGATAATTTTCTGTCTTGCAAGTGCCATGTACTCTTGTTTGGATATTGTTGAAAGTAATGTAAAATATTGGATGGTTTTTGCTAGATTCTTTGTTGGAGTCTCATCTGCGAATATTGGTGAGTCGTTGGAATTAAAATGAGGGTGTGTCAAGCAGTTTCAGATGTCTATTACGACTGAACAAACCTATAAAATTAGATCTCTTGACGCAACATCAATCAATTCCATTAATTATAAGTAATAGCAGATCCAATTATCTTACACGAAATCGCATTTTATTAGTAATTTGCAGAAGTTATGTATCAGCAGCAACAACGCTTAAAGAGAGAACCAAAGCTGTTTCATTATTAACCCTAGCACAAACATTAGGATTTATTTTCGGACCAATGCTTCAAGGCATTTTCACACCACTCGGTGGTGAAGGAATCAAAATGTTTTACAATATTCCACTGTCAATGTATACGGCGCCAGGATGGTTGAATGTCTTCTTAGGATTATTAAATCTTATTTTATTCTTTCCAAAGTTTTTCCAAGACAAGAGAGTAGCGGCTCGTGAGCAAATGCTGATTCATGGAAAAGAGACTGAAAAGGAAACGTGGAAAGCTATTAAGCCGGATTATCTTGTGTCATGGGCTTTGATCTTCTCACTTTTTGTGTTTGTATTTAACTTTGTATTACTTGAAAGCCTTGGAACGCCTTTAACAATGGACCAGTTTGCATGGACAAAAAAAGAGGCACTTGAAAATATGGCATATATTATGACTGCCGGCGGAATTATTGCATGTGGAACTTTCCTGATGATATCACCACTGTGTAAAAAGTTCAAAGAGAATGATGTATTGATTTATGGTGGTTTCTTCCTTATGATATTGGGTAGATTCACACATATTCCATACGGGAATGAAACTCCAAAGCTAGCCTATCCCAAAGAATATGGTTTTGAGAATGGAACGTATGTAATATTTAAGGATGATGATGAAGCTGTGTTAGGGTGTCCATTTATCGAGCAGAAATGGTGTTCAACGACACCAAAACTCGGATTCACAGAGTTTATTGTCGGATACTTACTTACTAGTTTTGGGTATGCAGGAACATACATATATTGCCATTTTGAACTTATAGCAACTTTCATTTCTTTTAGATATCCTATCGGCCTTACGCTTATTCAGACAATTTTTTCCAAAGTACTGGGACCACGTCCCCAAGGCAACTGGATGGGACTAATGACAAATGCTGGATGTTTATCGAGAATTTTTGGTCCAATCTGTGTGTCAATGCTTTACACTAGATTTGGTACACTTGTTATTATGTTGTTCACATTAGTTTTAATGCTTATACCAATGATATGGTTGTTCTTACTTAAAGATCGACTTTATATAGAAGAGTTTAAGGATCGGACGGTTGAAATGGAAAACATGAGTGAGAGAAGAAATTTACAGTCAGAAAAAGATAATATTAGCTAATAAAGACTTTATTTACAAATTTAATTCTACAGTCTTTATGATTTTATATCTAATTTTGTATGTGAAAATTCTGGAAAATTCATAAAATCTAGGAAATACTGTTATAAGGTTAACGGTTTAAAATAATTCAAATTTTCGCATCCCTATAAGAGCAATAAAAAGAAAAGCAAACTGTGAAGCGAGAATCATTAATCAAAAAGAACTTTGTAAGCAAAGAAGTTGAAAAAAATTTCAAGTGAAATTAAAATAATCTTTTAAAGCCAAAGGAATAATAATAATTAAATCAAAATGCCACGAAGAGGACGAAGTGCATCTCCACCACCAGCTCAACGCAGGTAATTATTAAATCAATCAGCATTAGTCCTTAAAATTGGATTATCTTTTCGGTGAGGTTACATTATCGTTGCATCATCGTTTCTCTGGAAGATTTCATTAATTAAACTTAATTAGAGCATAATAACAGTTCCATTTAACATGAATTTGTTAACTGAATTGCTATAAATTTCATGAAATTCGCTAAAATTGAAATTAAGAAACTTCTCGAATGTTGTCAATTACTTTTCAACTGTGACGTCACAAATGAAAATCTGATGATACTTCCTAATGCTTTATAGTTCATAGATCATCTTTGTTGGATATTTGCCATTCACGTGATGCTTGTTTATAGCAATTGCAAATGTTTATTGTGAAATTCATTGATTGTTTATTTATTTGATTAATGTTTTTTAGACCAATGGCTACTTCTGCCCCACAAAGACCACAACAACAAGCTAGACCAGCTCCCCCACCTGCACCAGTTCAAGCTGCTCCAAGCGCAGTCGCTCCAGCAGCTGCACCAGTATCACAGGGCCCTGGTTTAATGGCTAATATTGCTTCCACAGCAGCTGGAGTAGCTATCGGGCATACAATGGGTCATGCAATCACAGGAATGTTCTCAGGTTCTGGATCAGACTCACAGCCACAACAACAACAACAATCAGCAGCTCCAATTGCTCAACAGCCACAATATGCAGCTTCGAGTGATCAACAAACACCATCTGGACCTTGTGCATGGGAAGTTCGTCAGTTCCTTCAGTGTGCCCAACAGCAATCAGATTTGACATTATGCGACGGTTTTAATGAAGCTCTTCGACAGTGCAAATCGTCTAATTCTATGTAAATTAATTTTGTGGATGGATTATGAATGTGCTGTTTTTTTTGTTATCACAATCGCCTCGTACTTTCTTTTTGCTTGTCAAACAGTTCGTACATGACTATTTTTTTAAAATCCTTTGTTTTCTGCTGCAATAAATCCATGGAATTGAATTTTTTATAATTTATCTGACTTTATGTTTAACACAAATACAAATCCTTCCATAAATGGATGAGATAAAGTTCAAATAGAATATTGAAATGAAAAATCTTAGATGGATTGTAAACAATATATTAGAAAATATTACAAAAAATATGAAAATAACAACTAGGAATTAATAAATTTGCGCATCATCCGATTATCAGGTTTTGATGATGACGCTCAAAAGATAACAATAGATTCTTTTTATTAAATGATAGTGTCTCTCCGTTCACTTATTACGTTACGCAAAAAAACGACATTATAATATGTTACAACTCACAAACCCCCCGAACGTTCATAATTTATTTTATCATTAAAAAGATGGAAAATTTAAAAAAGTGTTTTTGGTGTGAATTTGTAAACAAATTTTTTTCGTGAACTTTTTTTTAAAAGACAGACGAACCCCCCCCCCCCCCCCCATGCTACATAGCATGTAGCTATAGTGAGCTCAGAATTTCAATTTAGCCGATTTTAAGCCGAAATTTAAGCCGATCGGCTTAAAATCGGCTAAATTGATATTCTGAGCTCACTATAGCTACATGCTGACAAAATATTTCACAGAATCATAGTAAAGCATGTAAAGTTCAATTTAAATACTTGAAATGGGTGTTAAATGGCTTTTTTCTATCAAAAAAATCAAAAATTGAGTTAAGCCGAAAAAATCGGCTTCGATCTCTGGTTTAAAGTATGAATTTTGTGGGATTTCCGAGCATTTTATCATATACATATATCAATGAAATGAGTCCAAAGATTAAGAGTTATAGGACATTGAGAGTTTACAACATCTTCTAAGAAATTTTAACAGATTTCTGGCAAAAATACAACTTACAATTAGTCAAACTGCATGTCACCAGCCAAGCTTCAAGTTCTCATGAAAATTCAAAAGCATCTCGTTTTATCAAACTTACTTTTTGAAACGTCATTTAAATCTGTGGATCACGAATTTTAAAGTTTTCATCATCACTTTTAAGATTTATCTCAAAACTCTGTACTTAGTAAATTAACCAATAATATCAGAGCTGAGATTCAAAACTTTTCCTTTTGTAGCTCAGACTCAACCTTTGATAATTTTCCGAGAATTCTTGTTACATTTTTATTCAGCAAACTCGCTTCCATTATCATGATTGAGTGGATAATGTGAGTAAAAGTGAATAATATTGCTCCACAAACATCATAAGCATCATTAATTAATTAGTTCTTATTCATCTGCAAATGAAATACTGATGATATTATATCCTTTTTTTACGAATATAGCTTGTTTTTAAGAATATCTTGCCTTAATAGTTTCTGCATTTTAGTTTCTAATGAATGATAAAATTTGAAAGAGTTCGTTAAAGACAAATGATTCAGAATCGTTCAATTCCAGTCTTGATATCATATTAATCCTTTTGAATACCAAAAAACTTTTAAAATTTCTTCAATTTTTCAGCAATAAAATTTCAATGCGTTTAAGAATTACAGCACTCAATTGCTCGATTTTCTTTCCTTTCTTATAATTTTCATAAATCTTTTATCTTTTATGTTTTGGAAGCAAGGTAAAAGGTAGGTTGAAAATACAAACTTTTCATCTTCTGTTTATTAAATTCGTGAGATAGAGAATGAGAGCGAAATTAATTAAGGTAATTAAATGAAAAGCTTTCAATAACAGACGATGATGGAAAAATTTTTATGTTTGCGGTTGAATCTGAGTTGAAATTTTTTTTGAATGGCATGAAATAACATTTGAAGATTGATATTTTAGAGAATTACGAAGATTTAGCATTAATAGAGGTTGCTTCAAGAGTTTTTATGTAGGAAAGTCTTTAATATGACGGAAAATTTCGTCAACAATTTTTTTCCACATCGAATCTTTTTACGTTAAATTTTGCCCAATAAAGCACCAAAATTCGTCTTAAACTTGCAGTTAATGTTTACTATCTGTGAGCACATAAGAATTTTTCAACAACAGATCACAAAACAGCTGAATTTCTTGATAAATCTTAAAGATAAGTTTTATAGGATCAAAAATTGTCAGTCAGTTCTTCTATATCCTCTTTAATAAGACATCAGTTCAGCAACACAAAATTTAATATAAACTTAATCCAAAAAATTTTCCATCTCAATTCAATTGAAGATATTAAGCAATTTCTCATGCTGAATACAATTTGACATGTGGGCAACAAAATGAGAAGCATACGTATGGTGCCATAATATGCTGTACAAATATTAATTTAATGATATCTAACGACACACTTTCTCAATTGTTCTCCTTCCGCTCGTCCTGAACTTCAAAATTTATTTTCATAGCTGAATTTTCAAGCAGACAAAATTGATATCTGTCGACATATTGTTGTTATAATAATATTATTATGATAATATAGAAATAGAAAGAGAACTTTCCATTGATGGCAAAAATATTGTATTGTCCATGGCTTATCATTATTTTAAGTACATGACTTGAAGTTGTGTTGTTGAAAGAAATCACGACAATTTTCTAGAAATATTTTGATTCAAGAATTGAAAAGTTTTATTCTATTGTTGATTGTGGCTTATAGAGTAACTTGTAATTGAAATTCCGCAAATTTGTTTTATTGTTAAAATGTTTCTGTTGGAAGTAATGTTAAAAAATAAAAAGATTATTAAAACTTTTGGCAAGTGTAGCTTGATTTCACAACTTTCAAGTTCTTCAACTTTTTTTGTTAAACAAAGCATCTGAATTTGACTTAAATCTATTCACAATCAATTCAAACATTCCTAAAGTCATTGACTTTTGTAAATAAAACTCATTTAATCACTTTAAAAAAGATTTTTTCAATATGATCTCCATAAAGCACTGCTGAATATAAGATTTGTAATATCAAACACGCCACAGAAGATAAGAATAAAATGAAATCAATCTGTTAGAATTAGCAATGCGAAGTAGCTCTCTATTAAATAACTATTTCCAAACACATTCCCAAACCATATCAATATCTATCCTCATCCAACTGAATTGTTTTCTCGTGAAAAAAGAAATCTATGCTTGCAAAAATAGAAAGGACGATGATGAAGAAGAAACGATTCCGAATATCAGAAATACAGTATTGAATGGTAAAAGGTAGAATGAGATATATTTTTAATGTTTTATTGATGCTTTTATAATAAATTGCACTTTTTGCTAACGTCAGTCGAACTAGCTTTTTTTTAAGGTGGTTATCTTTATGTATTCTATCCATAGAGTCATTTGGTGAGCATGTGTTTCCTAGAAATATGATGAGGAATTAATGCATTTTCTATTTGAACGATTCTAGATCCATAAATTTATTCTTATTGACAATTCAAATAAAATGTATTAGCTTCATCTCGATTAGTGCTTTAATTCAAACTGTGGAGTAATCAATAGATTGAATTGCTTTGAAATTAGACTAGTGTGACTAAGTTCAATTTCAAATTTTCCCATTTTTCTGGTTGCTAAACAACATCAACAGGAAGTGAATAAAAAAAACATTTGCATCATATTTACGTCCAAAATAAATTCAATAAACACCTCTTTTCAAAAATAGAACATAAAGCAAATAATGCCCTCAAAATAACCTCCATTTAAATAAAATTTTATTATTTTTCTATCACATTAGAACATCCTTGAAATCCACACAACATATAAATGTAGGTAGACTCAAGTTAAAATAAAGTTCCATATCAAACTGGACGTGAAAATAGACATGGAAAGAGAGTATAAAATGAAGTGGATGAGCCTTCTTAATTTATGTCTCCCCTGTGGCAAATTAATAAGTCACTTTGCATTCACAACAGACATGAAAAGGCCTAAACTGGAACACGATGATGAGAAAATAAAACATTTTTGCATTCGATAAATAAATTTTATTCGATAGACTATAAAATAGACACAGAAGAAGAAGAATTAAGGCTCTCTTTTTTAATGCCTCAACATAAAGATTGCCCTTTATTATAGCCATTTATCACTAACGATTTGAGAACGAGGAAACTTTTTATTTATTTTTTTTTTCGGGTGAATATAAACATTTCAAGAATTTCGATTGACAATGAAATAAATTAGTCTCATGTGCACATGCAACAATTAATTGTGAAATTTTCCCTCTTGATAGTGCCTTTTTTTTTTTGGAGATGTTTGAATTGCTATAAATCTCTTAATTGACTTTTCGAATTTTTATTTTCTCGTCGATTGAGTTTTTGTCGATTTTTAGGCAGTTAATATTTTATAATTGGAAGTTGTGAGAGGTGTGGGTTGAGGATCCTCTTACCTAATACACATGAATGATTTGGTCCAAGATTCGTGTCTCTAAGCTGCTAAAAAGTCATAACTGATAATAAATAGTGACAAACTGATGCAAACATTTCATAATTTTTTTCTCATAATGTTGTTATCCCCCTGCGATTCTCTCATCAGGTAAAACTTAGCAGCTTAATCAAAACTTCATAATTTAAAAAATTCATTCAACAACTTTTTCATTTGTTGCATTTTTTGCCAACTAACCAAACCAGCTGGCCATAAACACACATATTCATACAGTATATATTGTCAATTTAGTTGCACAAGCCTAACCGAAACCACAAATCCCCCCGAAATCACTTTCTCTCTTCTCTCTTATATTTTTTTTTGCTCATCCACTACCAGCATGAGTCGCATATCACATGCATCACATCCAACAATGACACAAGGAAGTTGAATTCATTCTCTAAAATTAATATCAGTGTATGAATACTGAGTACAATGACTAGATGGATAGAATCGTCAAAAAAGTGGCATGGAGTGAATGTAAGAAGTAAACCAGTGGTGGTAAATGTTACGTGACTTGCTTTAATAAACTTTTAACTTTAGTACAAAATGTATGATACTTTTACAGAAAAGAATCATGACTATTAACTCTATACTTTGTGTATGTCTTGCTTTCATTCTCAGTTGTACATTTAATGACAATTTTCCTTCGGATGTCTCATTTGACATTTCATCTTATGTGACTTTTACTCGTGCACTTACTTATTGTCTGTTGTTTAGGGAAAAAATGTGATAATTAAATCTCAAAGCATGATCACGCCTTGATTTTTTGTGATAAACATTTTTGCCGCTTCTGCTTGGGAGGAAATTAAGGCAATTTCAGCAAATTTTATGATTTTTTCCCTTATCTTAATTTTTCTCTTTTCTAAGAGCTTTGATGGCAAGTAATGATAAGGTACAGAGGATTGTAAGTTTGATAATTTATTTGGCTATAAGGAATTAGAGTGAATTTTTTGTAATGTTCTGAAGTTTTGCTAAGGTTGGTTGCTGAATCAAGGTACTCAATTGTAGAACCAAGATTAACTTGAAATGGAAATCAACCTAGATCAACAGAGACAAACATAGACACAATCCACCAATTTTCTACAAAAACGAGTCCCTTCAAATTTTGAAGCTTTTGTAGGCGGCTGTAAACTCATTTGTAAATATCAACAAATATTAAGCATGCACGTTCTAACGTATCTAAAATGAAGAGATAGGACATTACACAAGACTACCTACGACACTTTTATATTCACATAGAAACGAAATTGCCTCTTTCATAATTTTCATCATTTTATGACCGTCACTATAACATTTTTATGACGATGTCTTTTGAATTAGCATAAGTGCGTGAAGTCAGCATTGAATGTGTATGTGTATGAAAAGAAAAAAAGTAAAGGAAGAGAAATAGATAAAAGGGAACGAAAGAAAAAAAGATCAGAGGACCTTCCAAAAAAAAAAAAATTCTTTACCTTCACCTCCATCCATTGCAATTTTTTTTTCTTTGCCTTTTCTTCTTTTCTACTGTGGAATCCATCCCATTAGCAAAATTGAACAAGAAAAATTGACAGATGGCGACCGACATTTATCAATGGAAGGAGGAAAATATTTCCTTTTCTTTGCAACTTATGCAGCACGATAGAAAAATGAAGATAAAATGCGTTATGATAACGAAATATTTGGGCAACTAGAAGAAGTCATAACAATAATCGACTGAAATTAACAAGCTATAGACACGCAATGGACGAGTGATGAATATCTTTGCGTTGATGGGTAGCATTGTCTAGTTGGGTGATGTTTTATCTTGCAGTTTCACTGTCGACTATCAGAAATCATTTTGACTTTTTCAGATTTTCGAGTATTTGCTTACTTTGTATGGGATTCAAAGCTTGATTTAAGCTAGCTCTATTCTTGAATGTTATCACTCGATTCCAACTTTTACCTATAGTCTAGTTCAGTCTGTTCCTTATCAAATACTGACATGATTTAAAGTTAAAATTAAAGTAACATTCAATGACCCTGACTGAGTCGTGGATTCCTTCTTTTATATTTAAAAAATAATTTGTTAAAAGCAATTAAATGTTCGATTCGTGACTAAATTAAATTCCAAATATCTTATAAACCAGCATTTAGAGGAACGATAAATTAATATTTGATTCCAGTCTATCATCAGCTTTGAACGATTTAATTAGTCAGTGATTTAGACTTTGAATTATTAATTTTAAATGAATTCTGTATATTTGAGTCTCATATCATTTGCATTAATTATTGCATCTTCGTTTGGTGGAGGGCCTTCGATGCCTAGCTGCAAATTAGCATGTACAAAGGAATATTTTCCATTGTGTGCGTCGGATGGAGAAAATTTGAATACTTTTAGTAATGAGTGTGAATTAGAAAAGTTTAATTGCTTGAATGATAAAGGTAATAAGCGTAGAATTTAGTGACATTTGAGAATGGCTCATATCTACAGTATTAAGACTTTTTTTAAATAAATTCTAGCATTCGTAGTATTCGAAGAAGGCGAATGTAAACGATCGGAGTGCATGAAAGCTTGTTCAAAGCAATTCTTATATGTTTGTGCTGTTAAGGATGATGGACAATACACATTTAACAGTCACTGCATTTTCGACATCATGAACTGCAAGGAAAAAGGAGGTGAGGTTTTAGTCTTAAATGAATCTTACAAATTTTTCATAAAACATGATTTATTGCAGCTTATAAATTACTACATGAAGGAAGATGTAGCGATCCCAATGCAACAATGTTCAACAAACCAAATTTTATTCGCTTCTTTGAATAAAGCTTAAAAATTTATTTGAAATATTTTGATTATTATTTATATCCAATGAACGAACTTTTTAAACCTGGAAAAAAGAAAAAAAAATTAAAATTCTATCAAACATCTCTAGATAAAACACAAATGAAGCTTGAATAATTTTAATCACGACCATCACCAACCCTACAAAACATAATCATCCACATATTCATATAATTCGATTATCATTAGAGTCTATAAACGTAAGGAAGCAAAGAGAATCTCATCACATCCCATTGCACATAAACAGCATATCATCTAACTCTGCTTACACATCATAACCGGACAAATAATGTAAAGCATTGAAATAAATGTGCAAATGTTATTGCTGTCCATTCAATGAAAGCCAATCAAGCTATATTTTGTTTGTAAATAAATGAAGTGAAATGTTTGATGGATATTGTACAGCATGTCATAGAGTGTGATGCGATGTGATGATAGGTATGATGTTACTACGACAACAATACAACGAACATAGAATTACAAGTTTTATTTTCAGATAAACTTTCAATGATGCGAAAATAACACAATGTGAGACATGAAAATATGAAAATGTAAGCCTGGGGTTGGACAGACAGCTTCTGAGGATTGTGAATGAAATTGTTTTAAATTTATTAGGCTGATTTTTAATGTGATTTAAGCGATTTGGAGGTTAATTGAGTCAACTTAGGTTTATAGGATAAGAATTAATAATTTCAGAGGATAATTCAATCAATTCGAATGTTTCAGGATCTTATTTATTTCAATAATCCCTCAATACTACAAAATCACAGAACGTTGACCAAAAAATGTCCATCCCTTGCTCATCAGTGAATCTGTGATGCTTATTTAGCAAGACGTGAATTTTTTAAGCTCATCAGAGACGAAACAATTGCTCAGCAACAAAAATAAAACATTTTATGATGAACAACAACCATAAATAGTGATGTCATGCTGACATCAGTACAAATTGCTTAATTAACCACACATGTGTTTATATTATTCACATTTAATTACTCATTGCCGGTTTAATTAATGACAAATGAGAGGGAAAAAAATTTGTTCGTGCGGATGTCGTTGAAACTTTGAAGAGAACTGAAAATTTCAAAAGCTTTTTATTGGATGTTAATGACATTCGAGGACATGCGCTGTTGTCATGCTTATACACGACACGAAGTGCATTTTACGCTCTCTATTTTCATCGCTGTTGAGAATAAAGAGAAGAAAAAAATTCACCGTCAAGTGGCCGAAAAGCGAATTTTTTTCAGTCTCCTGCTTACTTTTTTTTTCTCACACAAATTTTTGGATGGAAATTCAATTTGAATAACAATAGAAGAAATTTTTTATGCTTTTTGGTTTGGAAAAAAATCCATAAAAAATTGTTCCTTTGTTATTCATGCTCCACTTCTGTCTAAAATTACAAACCTTTTTTGTGTTCCTACAATTAAACAATTAACACAGCAATAAACATTAAATATTTATTACAATTAACCGGCAACTCATTAAAAACCGATTTAAAATCATTTCTCGTCCTACTGCAGATGTAAAGTTGTAGGTAAATAGAATATTATGTCAGGAGCTTGAGGGTAGATTTTAGCATATTTTTAACAAAATGATGGGGGATTGTTTACTTAATTTCTTGCGGATGTTATGAATAGAATTATGGGATGGAGATTTTGTTGTTTTGTCAATGCGGATGTGTCATGTGTTTCTATGTTTGATGAGGATTTTAACATTATTTTTTTGTTATTTTACATGCGTTTGTGAGGAGGAACTAGTGTTAAACTTGTAAAACATGTAATTTGCAACACTAGTTTGAGAATGGGATATGTGAATCTATTGTTTTATCAGAATCAGTTTTACTCTGAGTTTTTGGTCTGTTTCGTAACTCTAAAAGACGCTTTAAATCAGGAACCACATTAACTTCTCGAAGCTTCCAAACTCTCAAAAACCTAAAGGTGATAAAATATTGCACCACAACAATATAACAATGATGAGAAAAATGTAAGGAACAAACCATACAAATTTTTTTTCAACCTTTTTTTTCTTCTCCTTCCACTCGCCCTTAATCCTATCTAAAAAAAGAAATAGGAAAGCTTAGGAATGTAATTAACAGCACAATAGAGTTGATGATTTTTCACCAAAACAGAAAGGATGAAAAAAAATCCTTTTTTTTGCTTACAGTAACAGAAAAAAAAATTGTAGAACAAATACATTTGGCAGTTCCATAAATAAAACTATTGTGGCCAGTAACTTTGTAAATAAATGAGAAAATGAAAAAATGAGCTAAAATCCGACAAGGAAAAAAAATTGTCTATGGCACAAAAAATAAAAATAAATGAGTTCACTTCGCATAAACTAATTGTTTTTTCCCACTTTTTTGTTGTCTTTTAGGTCGGATATGGATCGGTAGTTTTACTGTTTGTGAGGCCTTATTGAGGGTGCATTTTCTTTTTGTCTGAATGACTGAGATTTCTGTAAGAGGATGTTTGATTAAAGTCTTGAGACAAAATATTGTTTAAAGAACTTTTTAGGTCATGAAAAATTTATGATAAATTTTATTAAGGAACAAAGTTATTGACTAGGTCATGAAATGCAAATAATATGAAGAAGTGACAGTAATTTATGAAATGTTATGAAAAAGTTTGGTTTTCTCGAATCTGATCTAAGATTTTGTTGAATTTTGTTCATGACAAGCTTAGTCGCTGTCGTTTGTAGAATTTTTGACTGCAAAATGTGACATGATCTGTTACCTAATATATACATCCATCAGATGAATTTCATAATTGTTAATTCTACAAAAAATTTAAAAACTTTAATAATCTTTAAAATTTATCATTTGAAAAAATTAAACTCAAATAAAAGTTCATCATTAATTATGCACGACTCCTCATCACTATATCCTTTAAATCCCTCAAACTGTAACTATTCCATACAGACATAAAACATTCACAATTAATCTCTTCATCACTCGCTAATCTCTACGAGAAAGCGATTCAGCACCCATCATAGTACTCATCTAAATCCTTTCCAACTGTTTATCTGTTCATTTTTCCACATTCAGCTTTTAGTCTCTGGTGCAAAATTTTCTATACTGCTTTATTTTTTTTTCTCTCCCCTTCATAATTGGATTTTCTCACAATATTAATTCTTTTCTACACTTGGTTATTGTATGCTTTTTTCCACACTTCACTCATTCAAATCGCTCGGTGTGTTATTAATTGGTCTTCACATAATAATAATAATGATCATTAAGAGCAGAATAGTGAAAATATTTGAGCAAAAATCACAATGGGAATTGATGTGTGTTCATATGGATTTTGTGCTGTGCTTCACATTTTTCACTTAAGTTCTATATGTCTACATCTCTACACACATATATGTGATTAAGTGTGTGAAAAATGACGGACAATTAACACAAAATTGTTTCTTTTATTTTCTCTCTCTCACATTTTTATTTTTGCTGAACTTTTTCTTTTTTTTTTTAAGATAAAAATTTCATTTTACGCATAATGGAATTTGTGGAATGAGGCAGTTGTCTTATTTAAATCATACGTTTAACATGCCTTATAATAAAGCTCACATCAACTATGCATGAAATGTCATTCTTCACAACATTTCATCTCATTTTTCTATACGACTCTTTTCATCACACAGGAATGAGTAAAAGTTAAAAAGGACAAGTATGAGTAAGTATCAGAAGCGTTTTTATCCTTAAAGATCTACTAAGGGTTATGATCAACTCATCTAGCTATGATTTAAAAAGGATTAATGAGCTCCTAGGTTTAAAAATATACTCGGTTTTGTGTTAATAGGTTATGTGATCTACTAAAGTTTGAAACCACCTAAACTTTGAAACCTAATAGAGTATTGTTCTACTAAGATTTAATAAGCTTTATTTTATATCTTATAATAAGTATATGCAAGAATCCGTCAGCTTTATTCCACCCAATTCATCCATAAACACAAAACCTTTCTCTCTAAAATCTCAGCTCTTAAAAATTCTTGACAATTCACACATTACTGTTTGCTTTTATGACGATCAAGAATGCATGAGTGTCAGAGCTGGTAAAAGACACACAAGGAAATAATGTGACATGATTTCTTCATCAAAAGAGGAGGGAACGGAAAAAAATGGAATCACCCATTCATCTGAATATTTTTGCTTCCTTTGCCGTTCTCCACACAGCACAAATAATGCGATACAAAAGGAAATAAGATGTGAAAACACGGCATAGAGGAGGAAAAAAAGGGAAGGAATTGAATGACACTGACATATTTGGATCATGAGAATAATCAAGGCAAATATGTGTATCTATAACACAAAAGGTTTACGGAGTGGAAAATCAATAAAGAGAATTTTTTAAACAGAAAGGTAATGTCAAGGATTTGTTTATGCTCATGGAGATGGGGAATTTGATTTTTTGAGTCTGATTCTTCGTGTTAATACAAAGGGGATATCTCGGATGAATTTTGTGAACAATAATAAATTTTGGGATGAGTGAGAGGATTGAGAAACGATTGTTATCAATTTTGGCTACTCAGAAGTGGTTTTGTTTTGGATATAAATGCAGAAACATCTCTTTGAAAGCTTTGCCTTGAAATTCTCAAAATGTGCAATTCAAGATGCACATTTACTCCAAAATAATCACAAAAAGTCAAAACCACACAGCCAATCCACGTTATGATCCCCATCATTCGCAACCATAAAATACGCGATGAAATTTCATCACGTTAATGAAACAGAAATTATTGGTTAAATGAGGTAAAAAATTAAAAAATTAATAAGCTTTACAGCACAAACACTCACATATGAGCACAGCGAAAGTATGACAATATAGAAAGAATCAATTTTAATTGCGACATGCCTTTAATTATTTTTAATTAAATGTTTATCAAGCTTTACGTTGATGATGGCTGTGTTCTGGGGATTGTGACTTAATGTTTTGAAAACTTAGGGTTTAACTAGTGACTAATGACAGTGATACAAAAAGCAGATCACAAAAACTTTCATTCAAGTCTCAGTCTTTACAATGATAAGTCGAGTGTAGATCATAAACAGCTTTTTAT